CTTGCTCCCGGGAGCAGTCCCTATGGCCCCCTTCTTCCTCCCCTGGCACTCACCTCTCCAGGCGCATGACTCCTCCCAAGGCGGGCAAGGCTGCCCTCAGTCCCATCCCATCCTGGAACTGAAGGAGGTCACCGAGTTGGACAACAAGAAACAGAGGGCTTGGCTGGATGGGCAGCAGGGATGGGGTGCAGGAAGCCCCCCGGGGCCGGCTAGGGCATGTCCACTGGCCCCTACTCACAGGAGAGTGCATTCAAGGCCTCCAGACCAGTGGATGGGTCAAAGCAGTCTTTATTTTCCCTTCTGCAGCCCTCACATCACTGCTGACCCAGGTCTGGGAGGACTCTGGGAAGAGGAGGACAGGCTGGCTTAATGCCCAACATTCCAGCTCTGTGGGGCGCTTAGGGGAGAGAGCCAACATGGGCTGCAGTCAGGGAAGCCTTCCCAAAGGCAGTGGCACGGGCAATGGCTCCTGAAGGTTGACTACGAGTTCATCAGTGAGACAGAGGAGGGACAGGTACAGGGACCAGGAGCTCAGGCATTCCCCTAAAGGACCCTGAGTCCTCAAGGAGGATGTGCACAAAGGGCAGGAGAGAGCCTGGGAGGCTGGTGAGGGGGCTATCCATCCACAAAGTGCCTCAAGGCAGTGGAGAGCCATGGAAGGCTTCTAAACAGGGTAGCGACATGTCTGTACTGAACTGGATCGTCAAGTCAGAAGAGTGGGGCAGGTGATGCCGTCACAGCCATGGGGATGGGGACAGGCCAGAGGGAGAATACCTGTGATTCAGGTTGAGATGTGATTCCGCCACTGCCTGGCCCTGGCCCTGGGCAGTCACTTCCCTCTGAGCCTGTTTCCCCCTCTAGAAAATGGGGATACTATAGGGTAACGTTTGAGATTTAGAGGAGATAATTCATGGAAGGTGCTTAGCACCGACTGGCACGTGGGAGACGCTTAACACCGGCTGCCATTATCATCATGGGATGGTACCGGGCTCCAGGGGTTCCTGCGGACAGCTTAGGGACTCCTGCCCACCAGGGCCCTTACACACCCCTGCGGAAATGGCCAGCCTTGTGCCTCCAAGCCTGGCATGGGGCCAGAAGGAGTGGGCCCCTGCCCCTCTCCCTCCACTTTGGGCCTCCAGGATGTAGTCCCTCCTTACCTGCCCTCGCTCCTCCTGCCTCAGCTCAGCGTGGTGTTCTGCCCTTTTTCACCCTGTTCCACTGGGGTCTTGGCCACCTCCAGATGCCTCTCTGCAGCCTCTGCCTGGCGGTCTGTCTGCCTGCTGTCTCCCACTTTCCTGGCTCCTGCACCGATGCCCGCAATGTCATGATCCTGGTCCCTTATTCTGTTTTTATCTG